ACAAACTAGAGCGCATACAGAACGCGGCTATGCGGGTCATTCTGGGTTGCACCAGAGACACTCCAGTGGTGTTTATGCGATACATCTTCGGTTTGCCGACGGTTGCAGGTAGGCACAAGGTGATGCAGGCGAAGTCGTATCTCAGGGTAGCTGCAGACACAGACCACCCTCTGCATGAAGCTCTGGGTGCAGTTAAGGGTCAGCGGCTGATAAGAGGGAGGTCATGGATGGCTCAGGCAGAAGACACAATCAGACAGGTTTGCATCCTTGAGAACATTAGGCGAGGAGAGGAGTGGGTCAAAGTGCCACCTGAGCAGTCAGACTTGTGTAGAGTCATAATCACGCTTAGCCGGGAATGCAGAGACTGGCCAGCAGGTGCCACAGAGGAGGAAATTCAGCAAATAATTCAAGATAATGCTCGCTCAGAGGATTTGATCATTTACACAGACGGTTCAGTGTCAAGAGGCAAAAGAAGTGCTTGCGACTTCTTAGCAAAAGTTAATGGTCGACGTTTGGTGCAGGAGAGCCTAGCATATGATACCACAACATCCAGCTTAAGAATGGAGGTTTAGGCGGTCACTGCAGCTTTCCGCTGGCTAGAGAACACGACACACACACACACACATTGTAATTGTAACTGATTCAGAAAGCATGCTGAGGAAGATCAGAACAGGTATGCTTTGTGCAGAGTGGCATGCTTCGCTGCGGAGGACACGAGTGAGGAGTAATGTCTGGATTTTTTCACCGGGTGACGCCGGTGTGTTGGGAAATGAACAGGCAGACAGACTGGCTGGCTCTGCACAACTTGGTGGAATACTGCTACATGATAGGGCAGACGTGGTTAGTGCCTTGTGGGAGAGCGTGTACAATGCGGAGGAGCAGATGGATCACCACAGTCTGGTGAGATTGATGCAGATGGGGGTGACGAGAGGTTCTGCCAGAAGCTCAAGGCTCAGAGGAAAGGCAAGACGGACATTTAATCAGAAAACTACTGGCACCATTAGTATCGGAACTCTTAGCTGGCTGCTGAAGATGGAGACAGAGCGCTTATGGGAATGCCTCGGGTGCTGTGATGTCGGTTCTTGGATCAAATCAAATCAAATCAGTGAAGACTTGGTGCACAAGTATACAGTAAATGAAGACTTGGTGCCTAAGTATAGAATCAGTTAAGACTTAATGCATTATAGAAGGAATGAAAATGTGGGGCATGAGTGCACAGTGAATGAAGATTTGATGCATGTAGTATGATAATGTTTTTCTTTTGCCTGATCCATAAATATAGAATAGGTCCATAAGTATAGAATGATGACATGGTTCATACCTTTAAAATAATGCCGTAGTGTATATGTATAAAATGAGGACCTCATAATTGTATAATGCAGACTATGCATAAACTTGGGATGAAGTGCTTGTGTGTGGAAGCTGGTGTTTGAGGTGTCACTTATGTCTGTGCAGCTTTTTGCTGACTAGCCGGCACCATTTACTCACAGCAGCATGAGGTCAGTGTATGTGTGTGTGACATTCAGTCAGCTGAAGAAAATGATAGCTCAAGCATGTCATAAGTGGCAACTAATTAAGTGTTTGCTGCAAATCAGGTTATGTTTTACCAAAAGAGGCAGCTATCACAGCCTAGCTGTAAGCCACAACACAATGTGCCGGCCCCCATTTAAGGGCAATGCAAAAGATGATTTCAAAACCATGTGTTTGTAGTTATATGCCTTTCATAAAATGTTTGTTCTCTTAACTGTTATATAATGAATGTAGGACTTTTTGCCTATATCTGAAACATACAAATTCCCTGTGTGGGTTCCAGGGCCCCATTGTGAGGAAAACAAGAATAGACCCACTGCCCCCCCCCCCCCCCCCAAAAGGCATGTTGAATGAGTAAGCTAATTCTGAACCTTCTTTGAAGTCGGAGTTTATCTGCCTGAGAGGCAAATAAGCCAGATGTTGAAGAACCAGAACTTTCTGTCAGAGTTTACAGCTGGTGACCACGAAAAAAGAAGAAGAAAACAAAAATAAGCACACAAATGATAATTTCTCTATAACTAAAGATTCTTTTTTGGGGCTCTTTCTTTATATAAATAAATGTCGGTAGTTTTTGCGTCAGTGCAAATTAGGGGGGTGGGGGGGTGCTTATATACATGAAGCACATTTACTACTCAGCACTTAAAAATGTGGAGATAATTGTATTGATTGTTTTCTGTATTTCTCAAGTGTCCGTTCTCAGCTGGGGGATCTTGGATTGTTGTCCTTCGTTATGAGGGTCATGTGTTCATAACTTTGTGCATTATTGATGTTGTCATGTGCTTGTTGTTTTCTGGTGTTGTGTTTGGTGTTTTCTGTGATTTTCTTTGAATTTATTGATTATTTGAACATTATGCCTCTTAAGATTTTGAGTTTAATTTTATGAAAATAGATAACCTGTTTGTTTTTGCTTCATAAACTAAACTACAGCAGTCGCTTTAACAAAAGATCTGCAATATTTTTATAACCTCTAACACATGTTAACTGCAAACTGCCTTACTAGACATAATGCCTGTAGTTTTATATGAATGTTATACATGTATTAACAGAAGACAGTCTTGCTAGACTTATTATCTTTGGTATTAAAAGTGTTTGTTTTGTAATGCACATATGCACAAGATTGTCTCGCTAGACATAATATCTATAGCTTTTAAAATATTTTATAAAGTTGTTTTCAGAAATACTGGAACATATGATAAGAACAGTGTCTCCAGCTGGGGCATGATGAAATGTAGTTTTATAGGTGCACCACTTGTTCTCACTAGCAGCTAACATTTTTGCTCTCTCTCTGTCTCTCTCTCTCTCTGTCTCTCTCTCTCTCTCTCTCTCTCTCTCTCTCTTTCTCTCTCTCTCTCTCTCTCTCTCTCTCTCTCTCTCTCTCTCTCTCTCTCTCTCTCTCTGTCTCTCTCTCTCTGTGTCTCTCTCTGTGTCTCTCTCTCTGTCTCTCTCTCTCTCTCTGTCTTTCTCTCTCTGTCTCTCTCTGTCTCTCTCTCTCTCTGTCTCTCTCTCTCAGTCTCTCTCTCTGTCTCTCTCTCTCTCTCGCTCTCTCTCTTCTCTCTCTCTCTCTCTCTCTCTCTCTCTCTCTCTCTCTCTCTCTCAGTCTCTCTCTCTCTTTCAGTCTCTGTCTGTCTGTTGTTTCTTTTATTTAATCTCTTTGTCCCTCCTCCGTCATCACCTCTCATTCATGTCATCACCCATCTCTCCTCTGTCTCTCTTTCATGCATGTATATATGTGCGAGCGCACATACACATGCACATGCACATATGCACACACACGCACGTGCGCACACACACACTCAGGTCTTGTAAACTGTGGACACCTAGCTTTACAGTTTGCTCCTGAACACAAAGCTTGTTAATGTTGATATTCTTCAAGTTGACATCCCATTTGAGAATCTGCTAGTAGTGAAGTTGTGCATGGATCTGCAGTTGACTGTCAGTTACATTTGCTATTGTAGACCTGCTCCTCACTGAACAAATAAACAACTATTTGCTCTGTGGGCTACAAATATTTACTGAGAGCTAGAAATGTATTCACTATCACACACTTACAGGGAATTTAGGAGAATTTCCCGAACTGGCCTCAGTTGTTATGTTCTGGCTCTCTAATGTAGTTCTCTCACATTTGTCTCATAAACACTGATGATGTATTTTATACTTTTATGTCTTGTTAGTTCTACATTACACCTGTAAAATATATGCGTACGCAACACTCAGGTCCTGAAGCAGTACTGCAGTCCAGAAGTGGATGAACAACCAGAACTTTCTGCCAGAGTTTACAACTGGTGAACACAAAGAAGAAGAAGATTACCTTTTTTTTAAAATTATATTTATTACGATGAATAGGGTTCACCTCCTGTTATTGTCAGCAGTCTCATACATCACTTGTGTCTTTCTGCTGACGTTGATGAAGATATTGAACCTTTTGTTTAAATTTTAACTGTTTAAATATTCCTTGTGTTTATAGGTGTTCAGTTCAGTATATGCAAAGTGATTCCTTCCCCTTCTCCTCCTCCTCCCCCTCCTCCTCCTTTTTGTTTATATTTTTCGTATTTTTGCTGGTTTTATATGCTGTTCATTAACTTTTAGATTATGTGCATTTTTTTCTCAATTTTTTAAAAATCCAGTCTTGTTCCTATACTTGCAGCTTTTTTTTTTTCTACCAGTGTTTTTTTTTTTACTTACTTATTGTCCATGCTGTTGCACATGTTATGTCATTTGATGTTCTTATAATTTGTAAACATTTTAATTGGTCATTTTGAGGCCTATTCCTGCAGTTTTTGCTCTTCTAGTTTATTTTAAATGACAACAATGTATTTTGTTTTATGTGTGTGCCTGCTATCAATGTTATTGTGCTTGTATTTGCCGTCTTTGTTTTATGCTCACTTTCTGTTGTTTTTCTTATATCTGATGTTATTTATCTTTTTACTTCATGTCATTGTTCTTGTATTTGCTTTTCTTGTCCATTGTCACACTATTCTTGTGTTCTCACATTTAAATTGCTGTTCTCTTTCTTTTACTCTTTTCCTTTGTACTTAACTTGCTGGTATCCTTGTGGTATGTTCGTCTACTTGTTCTTGCTTACATTCCTATTCTTCTTATTCATGGCCCTGTACTTATTCTCACTTCCCTCTCTTGTGCGTTATCCTCATTCTTCTCGTCTTTTTAACTTCCCTTTTTTACCACTTCAGGTGTTGAGGGAGATGTAAGTTCCTGCTTCTTGCTCTTCTGGCCGTCTCGGCCATAGACACATCGTGCTGTTGTAGAGTTTCTCTGATGTTATTGTTTCGTCTTGTTCTGGGACTGTGCTCTACACCCTTCTCCTTTTTTTTGATGTATGCCTTTATCCTCATTAATATTATTAATATGATAGTGATAACAGTCTTAGTGCGTAAGATGGTTAGTTTCTCTGTAATTAGTGAGACCAGGCTTGGACTGCCAACATTGAACTGTTTGTGGCTTCCTCTTCACAGCCACACTGAGTCCAGTGGTCAGCTGCCAGCAGACACAGCCTCCACCACAGCTGCAGCAGCAACCCAGCTTGGGCTCCCCGGTCCCCATGGAGCAGCTGAAGACCATGGCTGCAGAGATGAATGCCATACTGTCTAAACTGGCGGTGAGTCATCTCTTAACCCTACCAGACCTGAGCTCCTGGGCATTACCATGAAAAAACCAACATGATATATTAGTTACATTCAAACGAGTGGCTAGAATATGATGAAACTTGGAGACATTGTAGAAAATAGGCTTACCTTTTATCTAGCACCAATATTCCACCTTTGTGTACGAATCCACTCATCAGGATCAACTTTGTTTCACAAAGTGAACACCAGATGTTGCCATTTGAGGGACACACCCCCTTCTCCTACTATCGATCTATTTCAAGATTGATAATTTTCAAGATTTTCCTCATCATTCGCGCTCTCACTGACAATGTCACTTCAAAAACGTATTCTTTATGAAATTATTACCCGCAGAGTCTGAATAAACCAAAGTATCGATCACCTGTTGGGCTGTGAAACGCCTAGAACTTGGTTCATCAGCCGCTCGTTTCATTGTGAATTTTCAGAATTTTTTCCACGTAAAACAACACAAATATAATCCAAACACATGCGGGCAGACATTTGCAATGTCTAACAAAGAGGATTGATAACGATTGGGTGGTTATTTTTATTCCATGACGCATCTTTCCCCCTACTACGCAAAAAGCCGAAAATTAGGGCCAGCGGTCTGGCGTCAGGTTAAGAAATTGTTGGAAAACCGGGCCAGCGGTCTGGTAGGGTTAAACACACCACATTGGACAGTGTACAGATATGTTGTATTTCTCTTTAACAAAAAAATGTATGTCCTTCTCCCACTCATGTCCATTTTTAAGTCCTCATTTGTTTGGTTATTGAGAAATGGCATCACCTCAGACTAAAAATCTTATGCATGTGTTTTTTGTTGTTGTTTTTTTTTTTTTTTTAAATAAGAAATCAGAGGGAGTTATACGTCCCTTATTTCCAGACAAGTTGGGTTAGACTTATGATTTCCTTAGATGCTGGTTAAAATAAAGTCCTATGTCCATATTACTGTATTTGCAGTTGGCCATTATCCAAGCAAAATTAAAAGATTAAGAAAAGCTACCTACATAAGAATGTCTGCACACACACACACACACACACACACGCTCAAATGGTCCCTTCCAGCAAAACAGTGAATGATAACAGCATCTTCGTCCCTACTATGGACAATGAGTAGAACACAGGAGAGGAAATAACTGTTTGTTAAATGCTCTGTCTTCAGAAGGTAGCAAACAAAATAAGGGATATGGTCTTGTCTGCCGGCATTAGAGCAGAATCCTGGGAAGAAAAAAATGAATAAAATCATTACTCAGCCCGCCATAGAAGCAGAAGACAAATACAAAATATTTTAAAAACAAGCGTGACACTGGGCTACAACCTGGTAACACTAACGACAGAAGAAGAAGAATAGAATGTCTGAAGTATCATTTCCAGATGATACAGTGCACAGAACTGCCCTGAACAGTGTTTGATCATGTCCGCCCACTGTCCCCCGTTTTCATCATCATCGTCATCATGCTAGATGTCAGTAAAGGACTCTTTTCCACGCCTTCAAGCATATTGGGTATGTAGGGCTAGACCTATAATTTATAGACTAATCAGCAGTTGGTGGGTGATGTGGTCAGCACCACGCCACCCACTTTTACTTCCCTGGACTTTACCTGGTACCCACTCAAAGCTGAGTCGACGTGGGAGCTAAGGTAATTTTTTTTTTAAAACAAAGTATGGCTTCATCAGGACCCGAACCCACAACCTTCCAGTATGCAGGCGAGCATCTAGCCACTACACCATGGCAGTTCCCCGTGCTAGAGGTGGCATGACACAACTCTGTTAGTTGCCACCTGCTACATACACAAAGTTTACACCTAGCGCAAGCAGATACCTTCTACATACAAAAAGCTTTGACATGGCTCACACACATATTATCTACTAGTTTGTTAGTTGTATCCTTGTAGAACCAACCCCAGCATTTTTTAACTGTTGTGATTTTTGTAGATTTTTTATGTTCAGTAGTTTTCCATAGCTTTCTGAGCGGTCAGCTCTCGGTACCACTGTTGAAACCAACACAAGACAGATCATCTGCAGCTTGGATCGAACTCAGCACTTTGGCATTACGAAGCGTGTTTGCAACACCTAGCCACAGATGCTGACATTATCTACTAGTAGACACACATTAAAGAACAGACACACACCCACACAAAACTGTTTCCTGTTTTACACACACATACACACACACTTTTAATGTTGTTCACAAAGCAATGACTTAGTATTAGTACACAAGATACAAACACACACATGCCTATGACAGAATAAACATACACACTTGACTTAATACACACTATTATAGCCTCGTACACAGCATACACACACACACACACACTTTTAATGTTGTTCACAAAGCATTGACTTAGTATTAGTACACAAGATACAAACACACACATGCCTATGACAGAATAAACATACACACTTGACTTAATACACACTATTATAGCCTCGTACACAGCATACACACACACACACACACACTTTTAATGTTGTTCACAAAGCATTGACTTAGTATTAGTACACAAGATACAAACACACACATGCCTATGACAGAATAAACATACACACTTGACTTAATACACACTATTATAGCCTCGTACACAGCATACACACACACACACACACTTTTAATGTTGTTCACAAAGCATTGACTTAGTATTAGTACACAAGATACAAACACACACATGCCTATGACAGAATAAACATACACACTTGACTTAATACACACTATTATAGCCTCGTACACAGCATACACACACACACACACACACACACTTTTAATGTTGTTCACAAAGCATTGACTTAGTATTAGTACACAAGATACAAACACACACATGCCTATGACAGAATAAACATACACACTTGACTTAATACACACTATTATAGCCTCGTACACAGATGAAAATGAGCAGTGCACCACCTTCCCAGTCTCTGCCATGAAATGACCTACAACCTCTGTCTGCAGGGGGCCATCAACAGTGGCCAAGATGAGAAGCAGGTGCTGAGACAGGAGCTGGAGAGGGCTCAGCTCAGTCTAGAAGGCCTTAAACAGATGAAGAAACAGATGACAGAGGCCGGCACATCTCCTTCGGACAAAACAAGTATGGGTGCCAGTGTGTGCTTTCTTGTGTGTCTTTTCTTCAGATGGAACTGTTACAGTTATAATATCTGTCCTTGTTCTAGTCTATCGTTATTTATAATGCCTGTATCAGAATTCTAACTTTTCAGGTTTTTTTTAAATTTTTTTAAAATTATAGTGTGTCTGTCATTGGTCTTTTGTGTCCCATCTACATTTTAGTATGTCTGCTTTCAATTTAATGTGTCTGAATGTTTCTGCATTCGCTTTAATGTGTGTTTTTATTTTCTGTCTGCTTTCACTTTAATGTGTCTGAATGTGTCTGTCTGCATTCGCTTTAGTGTGTGTTTTTATTTTCTGTCTGCTTTCACTTTAATGTGTCTGAATGTGTTTGTCTGCATTCACTTTAGTGTGTTTTTATTTTCTGTCTGCTTTCACTTTAATTTGTCAGAATGTGTCTGTCTGTATTCACTTTAGTGTATGTGTGTGTGTGTTTTTTTCTGTCTGCTTTCACTTTAATATATCTGAATATGTCTGCATTCACTTTAGCTGTGTTTTTATTAAAGTGTTTGCCATAACTCCTTACCATCCTGTCTTCACTGTATTGGGTCTGCTTTCACTTTAGATCTTCAACCTTCACTTTAGAATGTCTGTATTGTTGTTATATGTCTGCTTTCACTTTAATATGTTTTTGTTTTGGTTTGTTCTAATGTGTCTGTCTTGCATATCATGTATTCACATTAGTGTGTATGTTATCACAGATGCATGAATGTTCATTGTGTGTGCTTTTATTTTAGTATTTTTCTGTTTTAGCTATAGTGTGTCTAATTCTTGCTTATTATAAATTCACCTTTATGGTGTATGTCTTCACTTTTGTGTCTAAATTCTCTGTCTATTGTATATGACTTTCCTTCAGTGCATCTTTAAGTAAATGATTATCTTCATTGAAATGTGTATTCATATTTATTTGTTTGTCTCCATTTTAGTGTTTCACTTCTGTCTTTCTTCACATTAGTGTATCTGTTTTCACTTTAATATGACTCTCTTCACATTAATATGTCAGTTTTCACTTTAAATATCTTCCTTCACATTAGTCAAGTTTTTTTATTTGTTCACTTTCATGTGCTTCTCTTCACATTAGTGTGTCTATTTTCATGTTTCACTTTAATGAACCTCTTCTCAAACTAGTATGTCTGCTTTCACTAGAATGTGCCTGTCTTCACATTAGTGTCTGCTTTCAACTTGAATCTGTCTCACTTCACATTAATGTGTCTGCTTTCAATTGAATGTGCCTTTGTTTACATTACTCTGTCTTCCCTTTAATATATCTCACTTCATGTTAGTCTGTCTGCTTTCACGTTAATTTGCCCTTGTTTACAATAGTGTGTCTGCTTTCAGTTTAATATGTCCGTTTTCACTTAAGTATTACTCATAAAATGTCTCTAACTCTTGCATATCCTGTCATCACTTTATTGTTTCTGCTTTTACTTTAATTTGTCAGCTTTCACATTATTATGTCAGTCTTCACCTTAAAATGTCTCTATTTTTGTTACTATAGCTTGTCTTATGTAACTTGCAAATCGTATCTTCAAATTAGTGACCTGTAAAAAATGTGTTTTTTTTTTTAAATAATTTTTTTTGTTTTTTTTTTAATGGAATGGCTGTGAGCGTATGACCCTTTTTTTCCATTTGTTTTTTGCTAACGTTCCCAGGGCTAACGGATTAATCTGTCTGTTTGGTTTTCATTTGTTTCTCTAAACTTTCACGAGTCTCTTATTTTCAGCTAAGCAAGTTTCGGTTTTCTGCTTCACTAATTTGTGTTTTTTGTTGATCTCATCTAGGTGTTCCACTTTTAACCGACATTCCACTGACGTCCTTCACAAGCAGTGCAGAGACACCTGACAGCAACACTGCCACCGTTGGTAGCTCCAACGAGAGACAACATGAAGACTTTACTTCTGCATCTTCAGATCTAGCCTTGTTATCTCAGCCTGAAGCGAAAATGCTGAAGGAAAAGTACGGACTTGAGAGCATCATTCAGGGGGCAGAGTCTCTGACCTCCTCACTGACAGAAACTGAAGGACAATCAGGGTCAAGTCTAGAAGCTTCCTCAGTGGATCTTAGAATTAAAGAAGCAACTGTGACCCAGTTGGAGGAGAGTGTGGAGCATTTGAGCTTTTATGGTGAGGTGCCCACCGAGGTGGACCCGGTGATTGCCACAGAGACACAGACTGTCGAAGCTAGGCAGATGACGGAGGATTACGATGATGACAGTAACGAAGTGTCGGTGGCAGACTTGCCGTTGCCGGACCTGGTTAGCCTTTGCGAGGTGGATATTGTTTCATTAACGCAGCGCCGACATGATGTTGATGTTGATGACAGCGAGGTCGAAAGTGACGACTGTGACACGTTGAACTCCAAAGCAAACTATCACCAAGACTTGTCTGGTGCAACAACCACATTTGGTGATATCCCTGGAGAGATGCTAGAGAAGCATGCAGCTGTCTCATATCAGGCCTCTTCCTCGGTTCTCCATTCTGAGATGGTTACCTCTGCTGATGATGATGATGATAATGGTGGTGGAGCTTGTGGTGATGGTTATGAGGCCTCTTTCAAGGGAGACAGTCAGGTGGGATCTTCTTCAGTAGATGGTAATGTGATTGACAGAAGTGGTGGAGGAGATGTAGGGGCTGTTTAGATTTGAGCCTCATTTGTCTTATCGGCATATTATCACGATCTGTGCATACCTCAGCCACATTTTCCTTGAACATGATGTTTTGAGACATCACTAGTAGCAGCAGTGCTTACCTAACCATGATCTTTGCAGATGTTGCAGTTATTATCTTGATCTTATCATAATCTGTGCAGATGTGCCATTACTATTTTGACCTCACTATGATCTGTGTAGATGTTACAGTATCTGGACCTAAACATGATCTGTGCAGATGTTGGTATTCACAGCTGGACCTAGCCATGATGTTTACACATGTTGATGTTAGCAACTGGACCTAGCCATGATGTTTACATATGTTGATGTTGACAACTGGACCTAGCCATGATTCTAGTAAGATGTTGGTATCAGCAACTGGACCTAGCCATGCTGTAACAAATGTTGATGTTAACAACTGGACCTAGCCATGATTCTAGGAAGATGTTGGTATCAGCAACTGGACCTAGCCATAATTCAAAGAAGATGACAATGTCAGCAACTGGACCTAGCCATGATTTTAGGAAGATGTTGATATCAGCAACTGGACCTAGCCATAATTCTAGGACGATGTTGGTATCAGTAACTGGACCTAGCCATAATTCTGAGAAGATGTCGATGTCAGCAACTGGACCTAGCCATGATTCTAAGAAGGTGATGATGTCAGCAACTGGACCTAGCCATGGTCTGGGCAGATGTTGCATTATGTGGAGCTGGCAGTCATCTGTGCAGATATTGGACGTGTGCTTTGACCTTTATAGTTTGTGCAGGTAGAGGTCTTCTTATATAGATCTGACTTATCATAGGACCAGATAAGGGTGTTAACCTTTTGACCTATCACCTGGACAGATGTTTATGTCTTTTTACCTAAACATAACCTGTGCAGATTCAGGGTACAGATATTGGGAATTAGTATTTGATCAGACCGGCATCTACAGAGTTACTTGTAGAAGGATCTTGATCAAACCATCATATGCACAGATATTGGTAATATTATCTTGATTAAACCACCATCTGAGCAGATATTGGTATTAATAGGTATTATCTTGATCAAACTATTGTTTATGCAGATATTGGTATCTTGATTGAAGAAACATCTACACAGATATTGTTGCTACTGCTGTCTTGATCAAACCATCATCTGTGCAGATATGGTTTTTCTATCTTGATGAAGCCATTGTCTATGTAGATATTGGTTTTATTATTTTGATCAGACCATCATCTGTGCAGATATTGGTATTAATGTCTTGATGAATACTGATAAAACCATCGCCTGTGCAGATATTGGTGTTTATAATTATCTTGATCATACCAGTGTGTGTGCAGATATTGGTATTACTATCTTGATAAAACCAACAACTACACAGTTATTGTTGGTACTACTACCGTCTTGATCAAACCATCATCTGTGCAGATACTGGTGTTATTATCTTGATCAAACCAGCATATGCGCGGATACTGGATAGTAACTGTCTTTATTAAACCATCATCTGTATAGATATAATTTGTAGTATCTTGACTGAACTGTCATCTGCACAGAAATTGGCATTATTTTCTTGATCAGACCATCGCCTGTGCAGATATTGGAATGTATTAATTGGTATTACTATCTAGAGCAAACCATCCTCTGTGCAGATATTGGTATTACTATCATTATCAAGCCGTCATCTACACAGATATTTTTGGTATGACTATTCTGATCAAACCATCCAATGTGCAGATTTCCACATTCAGGTAGTATCCACTCCACTCAGTATCTTCACCGTTGTTTATGAATGCTATCAGCCCATATAGGATGTATTTATAATATAATCCTTACAACATATAATCTTGACTTCAGTGAACGTATTCCAATGTGACCTTTTGTCTGTGCGTATAATGTCATCTTTCCTGACTGTCTTCACATGAGTGTAAGTGTGGCAGGTAAAATATCTGAATGTAATTAAATTACCTGTACCCTGAAATGTAATATCATCCTGTAATGTCAGCAATAATATCAGCCTCTGATGTTTGCAGTAATGTCAGCCGGTGTGTGAGGTGCTTATTGGAACTGGAGCATTGCATTTATGTGATTTTTATCTTTCAGTGAGATTGGAATGGTGATTTTCTGTTTGAAATGGAGTATTTGTCACGTTCTGCATATTAGAGAGGAGGCGGGGCATTTTGAATGTACAGAGAACACATGTTTACCGTGAGGAGGGAAAAGTCTGTCGGTAACCTCAGGAATGCTGAGTTATTTATTATGGGAATCATTGTTAACTCTTTGTTTGACCAAAACAACATTTATTTTTAAAATTAATATTATTATTTACGAGTTAAAGAGCGCTAGAATATTAATTTTTTTCAAACAGGAGAAAAATTGGAAACCCTTGAACATAATTTTATTTTCGTCATTGTGGTGAATCAATAAAAGTTTGTCCACAAATTGTATCATTTCGTCTTTTAAAATTTAAGGAATGGGTATTCTAAATATAGTTTATAACAAACAAGAAATTGGCAGCCCCGCTATTATGTTCATGAAAGTGACAATTAGTAGGGTTTGTCTGAAACTATTGTAATTTTGTAATTAAATAGTTTAAAGAAATTAATATTATAAATGTAAAATAAAACAGGGAAAAGAAATAGCAACCCTAGAGCATACTCTTTTTTTCATGCTTATGTTGGCAATTAGGGTTTGTCTGAGACTGTTGTATTATTTCAGGTGTTAAATATTGCAGAAGGTGAGATTCTAATTGTTAAATAGAACAGATGGCAGAAATCAGCAACCCTTTTTACTTTTGTTATTGGGTTGGTCATTAAGGTTTCTCCACAAATATTGTATCATTTCGACTTTTAAAATTCATGGAGGAGTGTTCTGAATGTATTTTTTAATGAAAGAGAAATCTGCAACCCAACTTTTAATTTCATGATGGTGGTTAGCAGGATCTGTTTAATTTTTGCAGCTGTGGCATCGGTAAGGTTTATTGGCAAAAATTATATTATTACCTCTTTTAAAAATTGTAAAAAGAGAACTCATAATGTAGAGGGAAGCAGAAGAGAGAATTCTGGAACCTCATAAACATTTTGCTATTTTGTTGAAACTATTGAAACTCATTTAGGTTGTGTCATCTTTAAATAGATGTGCAGCCCTTTCTGTTTGTACAGACAGTGAAAAACACTTTTGTACAGACAGTGAAAAAAAACCACTGTTATACAGACAGTGAAAAACACTGTTGTACAGATGGCGAAAGATACATTCTTCCAGTTAGCTACTTTTTTCTTACGGCTGATTGCCTGTAACAGCACCAGTTGTTTTTTGTTCACTTGAAGTCTGGCTAATTTCAGTGAAGTAAAACAATACTGATGCAGGTGCAGATTTGGGTGGTTATTAAAGATTTTGGATGCAGGTCACAGGTTCAGGGTGGGTGTCAGGTTCAAGGTGGGGGTCAGATTCAAGGTGGGGGTCACAGATTTAGAGATCACAAATTTGGGGTGGATATCCCAGACTTTGGCGTGGGGATAATAGACTTGGGAAGTCACAGAATATCTCCTTGCAGACTCGGAGCTTCAGAATGCATTGCATTAGCTAATTGTGAAGGTATTTGTATCATGTAATGATAATTAGGGTATCAAGAGTTGACGGTTTTACTGTTGGGTTGACGGTGGGAAAGTAACAGTTGTTGCTATCTCCTTGTTTGAAGTGGTTGGGTAAATAAGTATATATATATATATGTGTGTGTGTGTGTTGGTTGACAACTCTCCATTTTTCCAGATGTTATAGTTATATTGTGCCATGGGAGTTACAGGCCACTGCAAGTGTGACTTCCACGTCCTGGTGGTGCTGTTAAAAGCCATAACACAAAACCTGGGCACTATTATAGAGAGCATGTGTTGCCCATACAGCATGATCCTTCTTTTGGTGTGCCTTGTTTACTCCATAGGAAAGGTAATACCATTACGTTTGGAACGGAGCTTGCAGCAGAAGCTGTCGGGTCAGAAGGGCAGTGATCTGTCTCTTCACCTGTCAGAGCTTGCCTCCTAGACCTGCAACCAACCAAGGCCAAAGGCCTAGCCTGCTCGCCAATAACGTTTTTTTTTTCTCTTCAAATTTGCATTTCCTCTTTCTAGGATAAGGCTAGTGTTCTCCCTAATGTGCTCCTCCACCGGATCTAATTGACTCAAGTAGAATATCAGGTTTAGTATAATTCTCACAACATTGGATGTTAACTGAGAACAGGTACTGCCGACTACTGTTGCATGGTTGCTAAGTCATATCTGACCAAGATCTGATTTAATATATGGAGTATATATGGGAAGCCAGTGTGGTGAAGTGGGTAGATGCCCACCTGTGGATCTGAAGGTCGTAGGTTTATATCTGAACGGAGCCAGACTTTTTTCAAAAGTGGCATTAGCTCCCAGGTTGACCCAGATTTAAATAGTTACAAAGTAAAGTTCTGAGAAATAAAGGTGACTGATGTGATGTTAACTACATCAGCAACAAAGTGCCGATAAGTCTATAAAATATGGGTCAGAGCGCCTGAAGGCAAGGGAAGGGTCCTTAACATGTATATATATATATATAAATATATGTGTGTGAGAATTGTATGAAAATACACAAACTATAGCTGTAAATGTGTAAGGATTGGTGAATTTGTTCAGTAGAGATTCTCAGTCTTGGAGGATGTTGAGCTCATAGTGATAGAGCTATGCATAAATTTCAGGAGGGTCTGAATCAGTCGATAGATTTCACAGTGCCCATTACCAGATTTCAGTCTGCAGGTGGCTGACTGCTAAATGAAGGGTTACATTCCCCCTATGGAGTGAGGATTTTCCCCTCAGGGTGAAAAAGTACCATGAAATGTTTTGGAAAGTAATGATTGCTGACCTTCTTCTTTGTTCACTGGCTGTAAGCTCTGGTGGAAAGTCGTGGTTGTTTGTTCTTTTAGAGTTTGGCTTTGTACCAGGGCCTGAGTTTTGCATGTACATCCATTTTACTGGTTGTGTGCAGTTGG